AATGTTTGCAGCAATATTGAAAAGAAGTATCAATGCGAGCCGGTGCCGGAAAGAAAATAATAATAATGATGATTTGAATGTAAAATATTTATTTGGAATAAATGAAAAGTGTATTTTGCAGTTTAATATCACATTTAAAACAATCTTTATAAACGAAAAATTGAATTAAATACAATATCTGAGAGTTGATGTAGAGAGTTATGTTTAATCGTCATGTTGTCGACATTATTAATTATGAAAATTGGGATTAAGCGATCGCTGACTATAACATCATGGACATTAATATTTCGACTTGCTAGATGATTTTACTGTATTAGATGGTCTTTATTAGACGAGTGTGATATTATTTCACAATTGCAGAGACTTTCACAGACAATCGCAAAAGAAATCTTTCGTGTAAGAGGAGGAAGAAATGACATCGAGCTGTCAATATTGCGCTCATAATCGAGAAACATCTTTGGATCTATCGTCGCTTCCTTATAATAGCTTATTCCGACGCTCTCGGCTAATGAACAGATTAACGTGTTATCTTATAAGACAAATGAATTACGCAAATGATCCATCTGCTTTCGTGACGAGACGTTTATATTTCTATTTGAAGATATAGAATAATCGCGAGCACCTTACAATGATACTATTCAAACAGATTCGACGTTAAATGGAAATATTTATATACTTTCAACGAATTTATTTATATTAGTTATTTATATTAGTATATTGTTAATTAATGAGCAAATTATAGCCATACACGTTCGTGTAGAACGTGCCCAATATTGTTCCAGTATTTATCTTCAGAAACTACATTTGCAATTAAAATTGAAAATGTTTCGAAATTATTGATAATCGAAATTATTGTAAGAATGGACAGTTTAAAGTTTTCCGCGTTTTTCGTTGCAAACAAATCGTCCATTCTTCCATCTTTCTTCCATTTATGAAACATCTAATCTTGTGTGCAAATGTAGTGAATTAACCACGGATATCCGCCGCTTTCTCGCTAGGATTTCTGACAAAGGACGTGAGTTATAGCGAGCGAGGAGCGTCCCGCGCAACATTCTGGTAGACATCTCGCAGATGTTTCTGCAGCGATCACGCGACACAGGAAATTCACGTACCCGGTAAGAAGAGAACCGACCTGTACAGGTGTGTAAGAAATTTTTCTACGGAAAACGTATCTTTCTCTGTATAGAAAAATATAAAGATATTTCTTCAGATAGTTTACTATTAATAAAGAACCGTATCGATGCTGCATCGTTATCATAGCTATTATAATTAATATATATAGACTGACATATATTGAATAAATAAGATAACGATAATGAGAAATGTAAAAAGCGAAATGTCCTCGAAATCGTTAGTCAAACATAACCGCTAGCCAACGTATCTCATATCCGTTCATTACGCGCGAACGGTGAACGACGCGGCGAGCGAGTTTCACGCTGGCGAGAAGAAAGTCCGGTGCTATAATCTCCCGTTTCTTTCTCTTTTTTTTCGCCTTTTTATCCCAGCTGCGTGATTCGCCGCGTATCTTTCACGCTGCCAATTGGGTCGCGTCGAGCTGCGAAACCATGCGCTTTGTGCGGAAAAACGGCGGAGCCATGCGACCGCAATGCGTACCACTCGTCATTCCGCGGTAGGTGCCTCCCCGGAGATCACCGCCGCGGAGATGGTCATGGAAAAAAAAAAATTGACACGTGACCGGTAGAAGAGAGAGACAGAGAAACGGAGCGAGAAGAGGAAGAAAAAGAGAGAACGGGCGTTCGTTAGGCTTTCACGAGTTAAGCTAGATAGTAGCCAACGGACGAGCATTGCGTACGATCTCTGGTGCGTTCGCATTCATTCGGATGACAACGACGATGACGACGACGACGACGACGACGACGA